AAAAAGAAAAAAAAAAAGATACTTTTTCTGTGTTCCTTTGTATTACTTGTCCTTAAATTGCTCATTGATAATTTTTGGCTTTAACTGTGCTAGGTGAAGAGAATGAAGCTTGTAGATAACAACTCGCCCCCTCGTGATCTAAAAGCAGGTTGGCCAACATATATTTTTTCATATTATTGTTCATGTTGCAATATTTTTAAATAATTTGATTCGTTTATAAGAGAATACAAATATTGTTATTTATTATATATTCTCATAAAAATTCTAATGCTCGGAAAACCCATTTGATTGGTTAGAGAAAATAGATTCGCATCCAAATAAAACAAACTATTTTGATTACATCCTACGTTTTGTAGATAGATAGGCTTAATGAATACAACACAAAAACACTACTCAATTCATCTTGGTTGTTTCTGTTTTGTAGTATGTGATTTCTTGGAAGAAGCCAATGAGGACATATTGTTGGAGATATTCATTCGTCTACCGAATTATGCAGTGGCTATTTTGTTCGGTTCCTTTTGTCGGCGCTGGCACTCCCTCATTTCCCATCCTCGCTTCGTTTCGTGTTTCGTATCCCATCGCCAACTCCACCGGGACCGCTATCCGCAGCCGCACACCGTAATTTTCTGTCTAGCCGAGAAAGCCGGTCGCGAGTCACCCAAAGAACTCGAACCCCTCTGCCACATATTCTCCAACGAATCAACGTCTCTCCTCCACGGGTCTTGGTTGCATCTCGACTTCCTACCGCTGCCAGAAGTGGTTATCCGAGCATCGTGCGGCGACCTTGTCCTCGTTTCCCCCGTGGGCCGTCAGTCAATATCCGATCTCTACATCTGCAACCCCATCACCAGACAGTATCGGCAGGTCCCAAGGTGCCGCAGACGGTCGTTTAAAGTGTACGGGTATGCTCTGATTCTTAACAGGGACAGCAGCAACAGCTTGGACGTGGTGCTGTTGCATCTGCCCGAAATTCCCCACTATGGGCCGCCAAGGCCGACGGAACAAAAGGTGTCGGTTTATCGGTCGGCGACTGGGCAGTGGGAGGTCCTGCAGTTCCGCTACCCGCTTCCGAGCAGCTTTGCAACCATCTACTCGGTGGACCCGGTGGCTCGGGACGGGGTTGTGTACTTTGTGGAGTTTGAACGGTGGTCTTCGGTCCGCCGGGTCGTCTGTCTGGACGTGTCGAGAGGTGAAGGCAGTGTGATCCGCTTCCCGCGTGATTTCTGGTGGTTTCCGGACCGCGGAGTGGTTGCCGTGAGGCAGGAGATTGGTTTCGTGGCGGGAGAGAGCGGGCTGAGGCTTGTGCAAGTCGTGGTGTTGTCGTCCAATAAGAGAGTTTTTCATATCAAGGTGTGGGAGGTAGTGGCGGCAGAGGTGTCAGAGTGGGTGTTGGTGCACGATAGGACGTATGCAAGGCCGAAGGGAGAGGGTTTGTTTGTCGGGCCTTATTTGCATCCGATGGATGGGGCCGCGGTTCTCATTGTGTGGGAAAGGGGCGTGTACCAGTATAATCTGGTGACGACCACATGGGAGAAGGTCGGCCAGCTTCGGGATCCCTTGAAGCTGAAGGTGATCGAATATGAATCCTATGATCACCGTCTCACTTCTTTTCCCATTCTGCATTCGGATTGGCCAACGCCAATTCCCCCTCTTTAAACCTCCTACTCTCTCTCTCTCTCTCCGAACCGTACCGTTCCAACTCATGCTCACCCCTCGTTTAATATATGAGAAATTCTTAAATTATGCAGGACCTTGTCCACGCAAATACTTAGGCTGCCTTGGCACACCTAGGTGTGCTAGGTGTGCCAGGGTGCACGATAATAGCACTGCCTTGTCCATGCATTTTTTTTAACAGACTGACTCTTTGTGAAGATGCTTTCTATGATTTGGATTCTTAAAGTGGTTTTTCTCTTTTAACTTATATTGCTTTCGAATTGGTCTGCCCTGTTTTGTTGTACTTTTCTTTTTTACTTGTGTTGCACTATACGCTTTTACTTGTGTTTTTGTAAGTGTGTGTCTCCATTGTGCTCCCTTTGTATTATTTCACAAATTATTTAAACAGAATAATTTATTCAATAATTAACTAATAAATAGTGTAATTAAGGGATAATTGTAAATTAAGTATAAAAATTAAACGAGTTTGCGTACGTAAATCCGGCTCAACAACTAATAGTGTCTTTGCTAAAAGTTGTGGTCACCTTAGTTTGTACTTTGTACTTGTAGAATACACGACTAGTTAATATTTACACAACTGGAATGCTATAAATGATCTTTTTAATTTTTACAATATAAACTAAAAATTTAAAAATACAATAGAACGTAAGGCGGGAAGAGTATAGTTGGTGCGAAATTATTTCAAAAAAAAAAAATAAAATAATAAATAAATAAAAGAAAGAAGAAGAAGAAGAAAAAAAGATAAAGTAAATAACAAAGTTGCCAATAAAATATATAAATTTTTAACTTAGGCAGTGAAATACATAATAGAGTTGGACCACAAATATTGTGTCTACATTATTTCACAATTCACTAACAAGTAACACTACAAAAATCATACGGTAATATATTTCAATAGAAATTTCAACGGTTATTTCAAAGGTTAGCTTCCGGTGGAATGATTTTAATGGAAATGCCAACGAAAATATTGCGTTGGAATGTGTTTTCTATTGGAATATTAGATGTAATTTGATGATCCTAACGAATAAGTTTCCAATGGTTTTTTACGGCTGGAATGCACAATTTTCGTTGAAACTTTTTTTTTTCACTCCGGTTGGAATCTTCAAAACCTAAAGCAAATTCTAATGGAAAACTCATTTCAACGGAATATTTTTGTTGAAATTTTCGTTGAACTCTATTGGAAAATTCCAACGGAAAATATCCATTAGAACTGTCGTTGCATTTCTGTTGAAAGATATTTTTGTTGGAATTTTCCGTTCATCATTTTCTTGTAGTATAAAAAGAATGTACAAGATTACAGAAATAGTATGTAGAAACAAAACATATCGTTGAAATTAAGAAAGAGAGTAATTAATGCAATAATTAACTAATAAATAATGTAACTAGAGAATAACTGTAAATTAAGTATATATAGTAAAAATTAAACAAGGTGGAGGGATAATGCCCCTACGTAGACATGTCAAAATGGGCCGGCAGGACGGGGTGGCCCGCAGCCCGCCAAAACTCGCCGTTTGGCGGTCGAGCTAGCTCGCCACCTCGGCAACCTATGAAATGGCAGCCACGCCGAACCCCGCCGCAAGCTAGGCTGTAGCACAACCAATTTTCAAAGTGTCTTTTTTCCATATTTTAATTACAATCATTTTTACAATTACTATTGTTTTTACCACTAATTAATGATATATTATATTTATTAAGTAAAATATTATATTTACTTTAAATAATTTTCATGTAGATTTCAAGAAGTCGAGTTCGTGAGACAAGCGTCGACCATTTCATTCATCATTTGCATTCTTCAAAAAAGTCGGAGGTGGGGATTTCCTATGCACTTAACCATTTTAATTTCATATTATTGTTATGGTTGTATTATTATATAAATGTCACAGGACCTTCATGCAAAGAATTGACGGTAAATTATCGGCCTTCGGGCTATGAGGCCCTTCGAGCAAGTACATATACAGGAGCAGACGAGCCCAACTATCTAATGGGTGCATTAGAGTCACGCAACCATAAGATGCCATTGTCTTGATTACATTATCCCGAAGGTATAAATTTTTTGGGTTGACGAGCCCCTATATACTAGTGCACTAGAGCCGCGGGACCATAAGATGAAGTTCATCAATAATGCTCTCCTATCCACGGTGGACACATGTTAATATGTCAACCGCTTTATTGGCATGTACACATTGGTGATGCTAATATGTTCAAAAAAATACATCACCAATGTGTGCATGCCACATAAGCGGTAGACATATTAACATGTGCCCCACCATAGGTAGGGGATCATTACTGTGAAGTTCATTGTCCCGAATTACATTGTCCCGAAATACTTTGTTCCGATTATAATAATGTCTTGATTTATATGTCGCCATTCAGTGTTACAATTCATTTGAGATATGAGTACAATGATGATGATATATGTCATTAAGTTATTAATTTCTTAGTTTATCCCAATTCAGCTAGTGGTTTGCACAACCTTATTATTTTTATTTTTATTTTGATCGGTGCTAACTTCGCCTATGTTGTCTCAACATAGCAGGTCCCAAGCCCTGGTAAAGGAGGATGGTTGTGATAGGCTTGGCGAGCCAACGTAAAACCTAGCCATTTTATGGAGATGAAACACAATAGATATTCGTTGGGACGTAACCCTCTTAGCGACGCGCCATATCGGAACCCGGGTATGGTGTCAAATGGGCAAGGGTCGGGTCGTCTCCCCCTCGGGGATGCGCCATGTCATGGTTTGGGCATGGTGTTAAGTAAGCAAGGACCGGATCGTCATTTCCTTAGTCCCGCGCTACATCGGCGCCCGAGTGTAGTGGAAAATGAGCAAGGGTCTTCGCATCTCTCTCAACGGGTGCGAAGGGAAATGAAGCTAGTCGGACCAACTAGGGTCCGGATAGATAGTTGGAACGTATGGTCTCTAACGGGTAAGCTACATGAGCTCGTCGATGTAGCTAATAGGAGGCGTGTAAATATCTTATGCGTCCAGGAGACTAAGTGGAAGGGGCTGAAGGAGAATGAGGAGGAGGATACTGGCTTCAAGCTTTGGTTCAATGGGGCTTCATCGAGTAGGAATAGTGTAGGCATCTTGATCGATAGGAGCCTTAAGGAGGAGTCGTAGATGTTAGGAGGCAAGGCGACCGAATTATCCTAGTCTGATTGGTAGTTGGGGATGTGACCATGAATGTGATCAGTGCCTATGCCCCTCAGGTAGGTCTTAGTGAGAGCGCCAAGAGGCAAATTTGGGAGGATCTGGACACCTTGGTCTGTACGGTGCCTGCCAGCGAGAAGCTTTTCGTAGGAGGAGACCTAAACGGCCATGTGGGCGCGACTAATGTAGGTTTCGAGAGAGTGCACGGAGAGTTTGGGTATGGTAGTAGGAACGAAGAGGGAGAGGGTGTGTTGGACCTTGCGATGGCCTACGACTTGTTGATAGCAAACACCCTCTTTAAGAAGTGGGAATCTCACCTAGTGGCCTTCCATAGTGGACGACACTCAAGTTAGATCGACTTTATCCTTGCAAGGAGGGAGGATAGACGTGCTTGCGTCGATTGCAAGGTAATACCTGGGGAGTGTGTTGTCCCTGTTGTAAATATTTTTACCGGAGTAGAATCGAAAGATTCGTTCCCCGGGTCGTATCACAAGGAAGGTCAGCCGGATTATTTTGTACGATTATTCGAACACAAAAAAATGGAAAATAAAGGAAGTGAAAATCCTGAACGATCTAAATCAAGTTTGGTTGGTTTTTAATTATCAACTACTGCGAATAAATAAAATAAAGCAAGTAAATAGCAAGTGATCACGTAGAACAAATAAAGATTAAGGAGCTAGGGGGTCGGAGATTCCCGCTTTGGTTTGATATGCAACTAACAGGCAAACGATTGTTCAGCTAAGAAATTCGAATAATCTACCAGATCAAGCATTCATTAACAATAACTATTCGTAACAAGAAAATAAACTAAAACGGCAATTTAACGAATCAATTAACTCCTAGGCAATACAATCACGAACAAGCCTAGTTCATGCGAACCTATTTCGACCGACTCCTCCCCTTCCGGTTCTGAGAGCCGATTAAATAATCCTAGAAGATGTTTAATCAACTAGGCGATATAGAGTTAACAATATCACTCAAGAACGAATCAAATTCAATCAACAAGCAATTGTAAATCGAAGTGTCACTTCTTCGATAATTCTCAACATTCAAGCACAAATCGAAAACCCTAATTAAGCATGAATCGCATAAATTGAACAATCTCAAGCCCGACAATCACAAACAAATTCAAAGCATCGATCCCCTATTCCCTAGCATGCGAATTTAGCCACTCATAATCGAAGAAGCAACGAAAGCATTCATCACAACCCAAGAATTCATAATTAACGATAAAGTTAAAGGAAATCTTACGATTGATAAAATCCAAATGTCGCCTTCGATAAACAAGATTAATTCCAAAATAAATAGCAAAATCCAACGTCAAATTCTTGTTCTACGATGAAATATATGAAGGAACGATGAAAAACAAAAAAAAGGAATGAGATAATAGGGTTCGGTGTTTTTGTCGCATAAGAGAATGAGGATCTCCCAGTCGGTCCCGATCGATCTTATTTATATTCCAGAAAGTCTCGGCGTGGCAAGATGTGCACCGCGGGGTGGCAGGACTGGTTCTCGCGGCGCGGAGGGCGGTCACGGCGCGACGCCTGGAATACTCCGCTCTCTGATGGTCTCGGGTAGACGACGCGGCGCGACACAGCAGGTCTTCTTCACGGCGTGGGGTCTTCTCGCGGCGAGACGGAGCTGGGCAGCACGACGTGTCATCATCTCGCGGCGCGACAGGGCTATTCATCACGACGCGTCTGTGGTCACGGCGCGGGAAAAGACTTCTGGTCGAGAATAGTAGCAGGCGCGCGGCGCGACGGCTGCCGCGGCGCGATGAGCAAAGTCTGAGCGTCTGTTCAAGTCGGGGCACCGGCGCGACGTGGCGGATGAC